TTTTTGGTCATCATTAATTAAATTTCCAATTATTTTATGCAGCCTGGAACACATGATTTGAGTTATTATTTTATAATCGGTATTTAGCAGTGTTATAGGACGCCAATTTTCTAGTAATTGTTTATCTCCTTTCTTATATAGTAAATTTATTACTCCGCGTTTTTGTGTATGACTCATTTCACCATTATAATAGCAGTCATTTAGTGCATTGAAGACAATTCTTTTAATGTCTTTCCAGAATAATTTATAGAACTCTACTGTCAAGCCATCGCTTCCTGGAGCTTTATTTAATTTCATTTTCCGTATTAGGCATCTTCACATTCATCTAACGTAACAATTCCTTCACAAACACTATATTGTTCTTCAGCTAAAATATCTACATTTGATTGATCCAGGTGTTTGTTGATATCAGTATGGGAAATCCCCTTATTTGCACACAGTTGTCTAAAGAAGCTAACTTCCTCACACAGGATTTCCTGTGTTTTTGGCAACATTACGCCATTTGACTTTTTAATTCTTTTTATGTTTTTTTGTTCCATTATTTTTTTCTAAACCAAGAAAAAATCTAGTGCTATGTTCGCCCTCTTCTATCCATTTGATCCTTGAACGAATGTATGCACCTTTTGTTTCTTGTTCATATATTTTTTCAAATTTTTTTGTTCTTTCTTCGATTTTTGTCTCAAAGTTTTCATTCAAATTACTAGCATTATTAACCAGAGCATCATTCAATCGTTTGATATCTTTTTGTAAATTTTCTTTTATTGTGTTTTTTTCTTTATTTATATTTTTACCATAATAAATTGAAACGTCTTTAATTTTAACTTTTATTAATTCCCACAATAATTTGGGACTAAGGTCTGTTTCATTAGCCTGTGTGTTTTTTGAATAATATTTATAATAGACTTTTGATAGTCAATATTATCCAGTAGGCTATTATTTAATTTCCAATATCCTGGCCCTCTTATAATTTGTACTCGTCCAATCTTTAACGAGATTGCCTGGTGATCCATTAGGATAGACAGTCTTATATCGCATGACATAATGTCATCTTGATCAATAAGATTTTGTGAAATTAACCAGTAATCCAGCCGTCTATAAATTTTACTACATTTTCTACGCCAGGTAAATTGTGTTTTATGAGGATTTTTATTCTTCCAAGCATCTTTTAAATTGAAGTACTTCATAACATTTTTAATTGTAAACACGGATGTGTCTTTTCTAACTGCACTATTTTTTTTATCACAATTTCTATCCATGATGGTATTAAAAACACCACCAATTATAATGTTATCTTCGTCGAAATTAACAATACTAAAAATAACATTACTCAGGTCTCTAAAATATGAACTCCTTGATTTACAATTGTTCGGAGCATATACATTGACAAAAACATATATTTTACGTTGTACAGTATTTCTGTTTTTATAATTGTGTATCTTCCATTTTTATCAATATATTTATTAAGTTTATTAAAGTCCTTTTTAAATATAATAGACACTCCTGCACTATTTGAAAAACCAGTACTATGAATGCAGAAACCCTCCCATACTGCATTAAATGTATTAATTAATTCATGAGTAAGATGCGTTTCTTGCAACAGTACAATATCTGCTTTTTGATCTTGACACCATTTAAAAATTTGTCTTTGTTTAATTTTGTTATGTATACCCCTCACATTTAGGGATACACAATGAAAACTTACTTTATTCATGTTATGTAAAAGCAATATAACAATCTAACTCTTTTCTCAATCATCATAATGCATTTTGCTTGACACAATTGACTTTAAATTTTACTAATGAATTACTTTTTTTAGTATTTTTCTTACTTTTGCTTGATTTTCTTCTCCTTTTAGTGCCTGGTAATGCGGGTGAAATTTGTTCTGATTCGGACTGTTCTTCTGGCTCGTTCTTGTCATTCACTTTCGCTTTGCCTTGCTGTTTAGATGATAGTGCTGGTGATTTCATGAAGTGTGTTATCTTTTCTTGTTTCTTGTGACTCTCCTTTTTTCTGCCCTGTTCTTCAATCTCATCATCATCATCGCTACTGTCTTCGCTATTCTCACTGGATCCCGAATCATCTTTCATGTCTGTTTCTATGCCCTTCTTTTCTATTACTCGCTCCCACATTTTTTGGATTAATTTTTCTCCTGAATCATCATGCAGAAGCTTTTCTGCACTACATTGCTCTCTTTTGTGCCCTTCTAGACCACAAGCATGACAGACAAGCTTGTTTGTACAATTTTTAGCGTTGTGGCCGTTCTTTAAGCATTTTGAGCATTTCACTCTATCATCCGTCTGACCATTATGAAAGAACCTGGTTTTGAAATTGTTAATATTTATAAACCTTGGTAGAGGTGTCTTAAGGGTTTCCGCATAGAGTACCCGGTCTCCATTCAGACAACTTGTTAGTTGACTATCTACTCTTAGTTTCAACCGCTGTATACTTCCTGTAATTTTACAGTTAAAACGCAAGAGCGTTTTCTTTATTTCTTCATCAGCAACTGATAGCGGTAGATCTTTTAATCAGTATACGTGTTGAGTCTACATCATATGGTAGATAAGGATTTTTGTTATGTACTTGGACATTCCTACCTAGGATATTTACTCCTTGTGTTAACAGATTCACCCTATCTTGTTGCGAATCTATATATATTCTCCACAAGTTTTTAATGCGTTGAATGTCATCAATGTGTTGGCTTTGCACTGATTTTACTAATGCTTTGTATATATCCTGTGGTTCAACATACGCCTCTCCTTTTGTGTTGACATCGTCAGCCTATGAAAACTGGTTTCACCCAGTTCTGGGCTCCTGCTTCCAAAGCCACATGACCGTTGGGCGCGGGCTTCAAATGGGTACTTGTCATCATTTTTACAGAACAAAATTTAGGTAAAAGAAATCAATAATATTTCAAAAAATCGTTTTCCTTGGATTTTTTTGGTAGAGAATACTTCTTTTTATGAACTTCCCGAAAAATATCTCAGGTAAAGTCAAGAAATATATTAATATTTCTGCAGAGCAAGTATATTGAATACTCTCCTTGGGGAGTTGTATACCGCCCTCCTCAATTAAAGCAAATAAAGATTATGTTCCTACAATCACTCCTAAAATACATTCACTTTCAATAAAAACAACTTTAAATTTTATTTAATAAAATGTTAAAAATTTTACACAGCAGTACGATGAATTACTATTTGATTGTGTTTGAAGAACTTGTCCTGAGCTTTACTATTTTGATAGACATTCGTCAAAGAAATAAACATTTTTCAAGCATTTTAATAATAATAATAATAATGTGGATACTTATGAGGCGCCAGTATCCGCATGGTGTGCTCATTTGAGAGAATACAGTACTGTAATCAAATTTTGGTCAGCACTGACAGGTAAAATCGTGTGATGCTTTCATCTAGGCAGACAAATCGATCTCGGCCACGCTAGGCTAGTCTGGGTATACTTCTGCCTACATCTAAATTTGTATTTTGCATCTTTGAAACAGGTCTGGATAGGCCTAAAATATTCCTATTAAATACTCAGTTTCTTTAGTTTATTAGGGTCCATTGATTCAAGGAATTCCTTAATTTATACATACACTAATACTAAATTGAAGTGACTGTCTTCAGGTTCTAACATAACATTTTTTCAATTACCACCCACCCAAACGAAGATTGGGTGGGTGTCTGTCCTTTCTTTCTGCAGGCGCGTTGTAGCGCTAGGTGTAAAGCCACTAGCCTAGAATTCATTGCGGTGAGCGAGATGTACAAGTTGAATTGTTCTTTGCACCCAAACTTAAAAAAAGATCAAGCCAACCGTGCACTATATGAAAGAATATGACGCCACAACAGACTTATAATAACTGTTGTGTACAGCCGAAGCATTATTGTACAGTGCACTCTCCCAATACGGACCCCTCCCTGACCAGTCACGATGTTCGGTTTTCCGGAAAATTCGGTGTGTGGAACATTTTTATTGAACCCTTTCCAAACAAGACTCTTGAATGAATAAAATGAATGCTTTTATATTGTTTTTTACATTTTCGATCTTATATTTTTTTTCTAACACAACACATTCTTCATAGTCACGATGCCACTTGCTGGTCGGTTGTTGTAAACATCAGGATGCGCTTCCTAAACTCTGCCTGCTAAATGATAAATTTTTATTGTGGCAGGGGTCATGAGCCTGTGCAAACACGTTAATTCCTAAAAAGAGATGATTACTGGGTTATTTCGTCCGGAAATTTTTGTTTATTATATGTTTGTTCGGTTTGTTGATTTTTGTGTTCCAGACCGAATAAAACATCCGGAATAAGATATTGGGAGAGATTCGGTTTTGAGAATGCCTTTTATTAAAGAAAGAATAGGAATGATTTTGTAACTTGAAAAAAGTTCAGTTTAGCGTGAGATTCGGTTTTCTGGGTGGTTGGTATTTGGAGATTCCACTGTATATTGTGTGTATGACAGCCTTTAAAGGCATACTGTAATATAGCATCTAGACAGAATTGAGAGTAGAGGCCCACATGTTGTGCTGTAAAAAGTGGTATTTAAACTTGCACAGCTTAATTTATTTATGTAACAAAGTACATTATTACCACTAACCTCACATTTATACAGACGGCACGTCATCCCAAGTGCTTTGTAATCAATGTATTGAGATTCACGCAGACACTCTTTGCTTTTCTCAAACATCTTCCGAGCATTGTTGAATTTATTGTCTTGATAAAGAGCCACACCACACTGGTAAAATGCTGCAGCTAAATGCACATCCTTCTCAAAGGCTGCTTCAAAATTCTGTGATGGAAAGAATTTACAGCACCTATATTATTGAGTACTATATCCCAGTGGTGGTGCCAGAGGGGGGCTATATAGATATATAGGTTTCTGGCTGATAGACAAAAATAACTTCCTGAAAAGGTAAACAAATACTGGTTTATTTAAAAAGAAAAACAACCACATAATACTGCAACTC